CATGAAATTAAAAGACACCTGCTCCTTGGGAGGAAAGTGATGACAAACCTAGACAGCATCTTAAAAAGCAGAGACTTCACCTTGCCGACAAAGGTCCACATAGTCAAAGCTATGATTTTTCCAGTAGCGATGTATGGAAGTGAGAGCTGGACCGTAAAGAAGTCTGACTGCCGAAGAATTGATGCTTTTGAATTGTGGTGCTAGAGGAGACTCTTGAGAGTCCCCTGGACTCAAAGCAGAAAAACCTACCCATTCTAAAGGAAATCAACCCTGAGTCTTCACTGGAAGGACAGATCCTGAAGCTGAGGCTCTAATACTTTGGCCATCTCATGAGAAGAGAAGACTCCCTGGAAAAGACCCTGATGTTGGGAAAGTGTGAAGGCAAGAGGAGAAGGGGACGACAGAGGACAAGATGGTTGGACAACGTCATTGAAGCTACCAACAAGAGTTTGACCCAACTCCGGGAGGCAGTGGAAGATAGGAGGGCCTGGCGTGCTCTGGTCCATGGGGTCACGAAGAGTCGGACACGACTTAACGATTAAACAACGTAGCTGGGATGCTAATACTGGGATTATTGTATCAACTCTGTTGTTATCATCCATAGTCTTTACCAGCAAACCATTATCACTTTGTACAGAACAAGGCTTCAAAGGGAAAGAACCCCATTGAAAAAGACTGAATATCAGTCACTACCAAGTTGAAATGCTACATTGACTCACACAATTTATCCTTGTGTCTACTAAACTAACCAACCATTGTCATTTTGTGCTTCTGTGTCCTACCTGGTCATGGGGCCATGTATAAATGATTTTCGTATAGTTTCCCTCTTATAGCTGAGGAACTGGAATGGATTCATTAAAGCTCACATCAAACGATAGCAATTAGTTTTTTAAATGCCACAACATGTTTGTCTCTTATTTTTGTCTTTTGTTTTGCTTTTGTTTTGTTTTGTTTCTTGTCTATTACTAAGAAGGCTCTTTTGGCCTGTCTGCAGTCACCTCACCTGAGGTGGCAGGGATGACATTCCAGGAAACCATCTTGTACAGGCAAAGAGGTGTGTGGGAGAAGACAATTCTTCAGCAAACCGAATGTTAGATTGTTTACGACAATGATGACAGTCATCAGTGCTTTTAGTTGGGCCAGTAAAGGAGTAGTGCTTGGGAAAGTACATACCTTCACCTCAGGAATAGGCAAAATGTGGTCGTGCAACTCTTATCAGCTCTAGCCAGCATAGTTTGGGGTGTGGAATGGTAATAGCTGCCGTCCCAATGTCTGGAGGGCCAAACTTAAGGCCTCTTTATTAGTGACTTAAGCTTTCTCGGTTAGAAGCAGCTCAGAGGCTTTTTGCTCATCTTCAACCCTCCCCCTGCCTTCCACTGCTTGGGGATATGAGCAAGCTGAGATACTCCTTGATCAGCCAGCCTTCTGTTACATGAAACAGTGCATATTGCTGAAGTGCGACAAGTAGCAACTGTTAGGTGGGTGGGAAGGAACAGAGCCAAGATAAATTCTTAATAGCAATTTGGTTTGTATGCAGTGAACAGTGCAAACTATGGCTTACCTTTGCAGATTTACATCTTGGTAATTTAAAAAGAGATCTCTCCAAATGATTTTATTTTGTTTTTCAAAAGCAAGTCTCTGTGCATACAGATAAATTGAACTGGCAACAAATCACTAAGGGCGCAATGGGCTCAGCTGGATTTTTGAACCCTGAATCCCTATATTTAAGCAGATGTAAAGAAGAAATAAACAAATATTTTCTGGAAATCCTTTCAAGAGAATTGGGAGGGTTGTTTTTGTGTGCTGAAGAGCACAGGGCCACTCCTGACAAGTTACAGCTGTAGGGCATGGGGTGGAGATAGATTCAAGTAATTATGTGCAATTTGTATGAGCCACGAAGGAATTCCTTCTCATTCTCCTTTACAAATGTATCTGTCGAGAAATCAAAGATGAATCAGCTACTGTTTAAGGATGTCAGCAACCTGATTGCTTTTCCATTTGAAATTAATGATTAAGACCATAAGTTGAATGAGTACTGAACAGAGTGAAGGTACCAAATAAGTCCAGATTGTACTTCCCTTACGAAGATACTGAGTAAGCTTAACTGAAGAGGAAGGATATTTCTAAACAAGAAGGCAGATGAGAAAGCCCATTTGCTTCTCACCAGGGTCTTTTGTCTAAAGGGACTTGGATAGTAAAGTATGAAAGGGCCTGTGCGTTTTGCTTAACTTGTCCTGATACATTAGTCTGAATCATTGATTCTCAACCATTGGCCTTCTAGATGTTTTGAACTTCCAAGAATCCTTAATCATTGGTTATTGCCAATTAGTACATTAAGGAATTGAAGTCCAAAGCACATTTGATAGATCAAATGTCAAGAATCACAAGGATAATTTATATTCATATTCAACTATTTTATTTGTTTATTTATTCAGTTTGTACCCCACTCCCATTAGTGTCACAGCGCTACTCTGGGCAGGTTACAACTCATAAAATAGAAAATGAAAATAAAAATTGAGACATTAAAACCACTAGCAGTAACCCTAAAAAGTACATTTTTTCATGTGAAAATTTGTGGAATGGGTCTTTGCCTCTTTGGAGAACTTCATATTTCAGTTACAACTTTACTTCTCTAAGTTCATGGAGCATAGTGTCATGGAATTAAACCATAATTTATTTGCCTATTTATTTAATGCTGATTATTTTTTTTCAGTTATGGAATCTAAAACAATAGTTAATTATCTTCTCTTGCTGGTTGATAGCATTCACTTTAAATCCTGCTCTTAAACACACTATGAATTGATGGACAAACCTAAATTCCTCAAATTTAATTGATCCAGAGTTTTATTTCTATAATTTTAAATCACTGAGTTTTAGAAATAACTATTCTGCAATGTAGGCATAAATGCAACATCATGCCAGCCCCAAGCCTCAATGACAGAAGACAGGGTTCCTCACCAATCCCTGGCCTTCTCCATACTCTCTGCAAATATTCTGTGAAGGACTTCCTAGCACATCACAGCAGATTTTGCTGGTACCTGCAGAAGGCTTCACAGGGGAAAAATGAAGCTAATGGGATTTAAGAGAATGGATGCTTGTATGCATTAGATGGCTTGAAATGCAGGAGCTATATCTTTTTACCTGTTTAACTTGGAAAGAGGTCTGAGAATAGTTTTGGTCAGAACAGAGCTTTAAAATATTACTAGAATTAATGCATTAATGTTAATTAAAAATAATTATTTGTTTCTGCTGTTCAAGCTTTTGAAAATTGCAAAAATGATTTGTTTTGTAGAAATGTCCCCTATATCTCAAAAATGACACCTAAGTAACCAATGCAATAATAAGCAATATTTGTCACTCAACACATCATTGTAAAATGACACCTAAGTAACCAATGCAATAAGAAGCAATATTTGTTACTCAACACATCATTGTTCTAGATACTGTAACTTCAGAAGAATGTCTTTAGTATTTGCAAATAAAAATAATACAATCATGCATTTTTTTGAAAAGGAGATTACTTCCAAGCTCTTAACTTCCATTTACACAAATCTTATTTACTTGTTTTTTTCCATTTATTCAGTATTTACTTCTCTCTTCCTTTAATTAAGTTACAGATTTGTAGTAGAGCAATAAGAGGGAAAGGTGATTTACCTGGAAATTGAAAACAGTAACGGACTTGAACAAACATATTATTCCTGAAATACTGCAGTTTGTGGATGAGGAAACAAATTGTTGCCAGGATTCTGACCTGTTCCTGTTCTCCAGCATAAAGAAACCAGTGTTGGCTCAGGGCCCCAGGAGGCTTGTGGTGGTTTGTGTGAAATGCCATGTTGTTTCTTTATAGATGACATGAAACCAAAATTTAACCTCTCCTGTACAGTGATTCTCACTGTCTGAAGGAAAACATAAAAGTCTAGTCAAAGCTGGTGACAGAAAAAGAAAGTGTCATGCATTTTTAAAATGATAGAAACAAAGTTCTGTCAACCAACTTAGTGTTCTCTGTAGTTTTACCACACATGAAGCTAAAATTTAACCTCTCCTGTACAGTGATTCTCACTGTCTGAAGGAAAACATAAAAGTCTAGTCAAAGCTGGTGACAGAAAAAGAGTTTCATGCATTTTTAAAAGGATAGAAACAACTTTCTGTCAACCAGCCTAGTGTTCTCTGTAGTTTTACCAATGGTTTACCCCCTTAGTTATTTCAGTTACCTTTCTGGTTTGTTTGCTTGACACAGATGTAAAAATAAGACACAGTACTTTTGTTTGAAGTATCTTAGCTAGCTTAGAAGTGAAATATGTGAAGCAGTCACTGTGGGAAACAAGAAGCTGGCCTACATGGGTCTTCAACAGGAGCTGTGATTGTATATATTTTTGTAATATATATTATGTATTTTTCTCAAGAGGATAGGAAAAATCAGTGGATCATCTTTGAATCTATATCTCTGTATCTCACATTTGAATTCAGTGTACACTGTTCTTCAGACCATTGAAATAAAAATAGAATCCCTTTCTTCTACAACTCAGCAAGATTCTTGTGGTACTTCATGCTGTCTAACCATTGGATTCCCAGTGTGGTGAATGAATAGAGTGACAGACTAGGACTCTGGAGAACAGAGTTCGGATCCCACTTGGTCATGGAAACACACTGGGGTAGTGGAAGCGGTAAAACAATTCTTTAAATATCTCACTTACCTTGAAAGCCCAATTAGAGTTGCTGTCTGGTGGTTCCAACTTGATGGCATAGTATACACGCATTGGACACAGTGCCGTCAGGAGTATTGTCTTAAGTCTGTCCAGAGTTGGATAAGTTTCTTTCCCCCCCTCTAAATTTTGGCCATTGTTCCATACTCTTATGAAGGTGGGCTGGTCCTCAAATCTATAATTTACAAAAGTGCAGAGGGAGTTGGTAATAAAATCTCAGATTCATGGCACACTTTTCTAAAGGATTGCCTTTGTTTTCTGTTGTGCCTATAGGTTTTCCAAGGACGTTGGGTCAAGCTGAAGCACTTGACAGAATATGTGAACTGGATCTCGTAATCAGCTTGAACATCCCATTTGAGACTCTGAAAGACCGCTTAAGTGCTCGTTGGATTCACCCAGCTAGCGGGAGAGTGTACAATATGGAATTCAACCCGCCTCAAGTATATGTAAGATTTTTGCTAGGCAATGTTACTTAACAGCAGTGAATTTATAAGTTAAAAAATGGCTTCTGCTTTTCATGACTGGTGAATTGTGTTTGCAGTTTTGTCTAATTAATAGCCCAGCTCTAAGCAGTGAAGAAGGTGCACATCTTGGAGAAATAGGATAGGTGCACAAAAAAGGTAATTTAATACAATTAAATCGTCTCCACTACATTTTGATGTTGTCTACATCAGGGAAATGTTGCTTGCACTTTTTGCTCGCATAAATGCTGCCTTCCATCCATTGTTTAGTGAAGGGTGTAAAGTGGGACATGTACATTTTCTGTAGCAAAGTGCCCCTTTTGTGTACTATTTTCTCAAGAAGTGGGGCTGCCTGTCACACAGGCTTCTGAAATGTCACCCTCACTCTGTGATTACTCCTAGTCCCTGACTGGTGAGGTGCGGAAAGAATTCTCCTTTGTCAATGAGGTTCATTTTTTAAGATGTTCTAGATTATAACCACCAGCATGCTAGTTACAGCAAGATATCTGAAGGGTACCATGTTGGATAATGCTGAATCTTGCAGTCCTTGGAGATCTTGAACTTTGGAAGGGGGTGGTTGGGGAGCTGGCCAGTGGGGGAAAAGCAAGCTTCTCATGCTCCTCTTTAAAAGAATATACATAGCTAAAGGTTTGTAGTGTAATGCCAGTGTCTAGGCATGTAGGGCGGTTTATTTTAGGAGTGGATGATCTTAAGTGAACAGCCAGCCTGGGCAGCCTTAAAGAGAGATTCTAAAACTTTTTTGTAAGAGTTATCCATGTGACTTAGTTGTGTACTAACGATTAGCACAACCCAACAAATTATTTAGGAAATAACCCCAATTTTTATCTGTCTAGAAGGCAGCCCCTGGGGCATTTTTACAGCCTCCCTGTACATTCCAGAGGCATCCCTTTAAAAAACAAACAAACATATTTTCACTTTGGAGCTGCCCAGGAGCAGCTGTTTTCACCTTGGGGAGTCTTGCGTGATTTTCCAGTAGCCTTTGGGGGAAAAAACAGAAAAAAAGGAACTTGAGAGTTTGGGTTTCTTTTTAGTGGTTTTCCATCGATTTGTGCAGCTCACAGTGAAGGGTTTTTGGGGGCAAGAATTTGGGCTGTAAAACAGTTGCAATTTTCCACCTTTGCACTAGAGTCAGTAGTTGACAACTGAGAGGAGAACTCCAGTCGGAAGTGGAAAGGAAGCCTGGTAGATCCAGCAGGCAGGCACAAAGTGAGATGGGTTGTTAAAAAGCAAAGCATGCTGCTCATATGCCACCCCATAGGGCTTAATGCATTCTCTGTGCTTAAAGCATAATGCAGGCTACACATTGCCCCCTGCACAAGCTGAGTACTTGTTTTACCAACCTCAGAAGGATGGAAGGCTGAGTGAACCTCAAACTGATTACCTGGGATTAAACCCCAGTTTGTGAACAGAGTTTTGACTGCAGTACAGCGGTTTTAACTACTGTGCCATGAATTGATCCTTCCCTAACTAGGTGTGAGCTGGAGGTTACTCCCTTTTGTACTCCAGATAAAAGACAGTAGAAGGGAAAATGCTCATATAGAATCATAGCATCATAGAACCATAGATCTGGAGGGGACCACAGAGGTTGCTAAGTCCAGCCCACTGCCAAAGCAAAAAATCCACAGATGAAGCATCCCTGAGAGTTGGCCATCTAACCTCTATTTTAAAAACGGCAATGAAGGAAAGTCCACCACCATCTGAGGCAGTCCATTTCATCGTCCAATAGTTCTTATTGTTAAGGAATTCTTCCTAACATTATGGGGAAATCTCCTTTCTTGTAATTTCAGTCCTTTACTTTGGCCCTACCCCACACAGCTATAAAACAGAAGTTTGCCCCATCTTCCACATGACAGCTCTTCATGAAGATGGCTATCATAGCATCTCTCAGACTTCTCTTCTCCAGCCCAAACATACCCAGCCCCTTCAACCATTTCTTATAAGGCTTGGTTTTAGATGGTTGTTGTGGGTTTTTTGAGCTCTTTGGCCGTGTTCTGAAGGTTGTTCTTCCTAACGTTTCTCCAGTCTCTGTGGCCGGCATCTTCAGAGGACAGCACTCTGAAGGGTTCCAGATCTTTCACCCTTGTCTGGACATATTTCAGTTTGTCATTATCTTCCTTAAACTTTGATGCCCAGAGTTGGACACAATATTCCAGGAAAGGTCTGACTAAAGCAGAATAGAGCAGTACTTTTATTTCCCTTGATCTGGACAGTGTAGGTTTATTGTGTAAAAAAAAAAATACTGCATTTGCCTTTTTTTCTTTCTTTTTCTTTTTTGCCACTTCATCACATATGTATAGCTGGAGGAGAAAATGCAGCAAAACAGTTCCTCTGTAATGTAAACATTAGGCCAGAAATAAGAGATTTTTTTAAAAATGACAAGTTTTTAAATGCAAGTATTCTTTACATGCCATAATCAGTCTTGGGTATATTATATGTGCTTGTTTTGCACATCCATCTTGTTAAACAGGGTGTTGATGATGTTACTGGTGAACCATTAATCCAACGAGAGGATGATAAACCAGAAGCTGTTGCTGCCAGACTAAGAAAATACAAAGATGCTGCAAAACCTGTGATTGAATTGTACAAGTAAGTCAGAGTCCAAACTCTACAGAAGTATGTCTTTAAAATGGTGCAAAATCCTGTGTGCTATGTTACTAGAGATCACAAATTATTTCGAAATCAGTTTCTGACAGTTCTTCACCTTGACTGGAAGACATATAATTGTATACTTTGGGCCATGAAACCTGTCTATGTCCCATATTGTTAAGACACCTCTTGTGTTTTGAAGTTTATCTCATGGTTAGAAAAAGCAAAGCAAAGCGTGCTGTTTATATACCTCCCCACAGCGCTTCAAGCACTCTCTGGGCGGTTTACTATTTAATTATGCAGGCTACACATTGCCCCCCCAGCGAGCTGGGTACTCATTTTACCAACCTCGGAAGGATAGAAGGCTGAGTCAACCTTGAGCCGGCTACCTGGGATTTGAACCCCAGGTCATGAGCACAGTTTTAGCTGCAGTACAGCGGTTTAACACTGCGCCAGAAGGCAGGAGTTCCATGCAGCACCATGCGGACAGATCTATGCTTCCTCTAGCAACCTGTTTGGTTTTGGTGCTAGTCACATAGCAAGGAAAAACCCTATCTTCTGCAAAATGCTGCCAGGTGGCAGGAGAGATGGAGAGATCCATCCTGCTGTCTGTTTGCTTGGTAGAAGGTAGGTTTTAACAATAACAACAAAACCTAGTGGCTCTGGTGCTAGACCCCTGGGTATCCAGGCTTCACTTTCTTCACAGTCAGCATGAAAATACAGGCTACTAGTCTCTTAAATATGCTAATATTCTGTTTTATTTTGTTCCTTTTGCAAGACTGTGTTGTCTAGGGGATTATGGCAATTATAGATTTTTTTTAAAAGATAACTTCTCCAAACCGTTGTTTTTGTGAGCAGATAATAAAGGGTTTATCTATTCTACATGAGACTTAATGCATAACCAACATTTTATCACAACATATAAGTGATGGCCATATACTTCCCTGAGTGATCGTTGTTCTGAGATGTAAGACTATATGATGGGAAATTCCTTCAGAGATCACTTTTTTTTTTGCATTCTGTTTTAACCTGCAAAGCCACTCTGGAGGAATAAGGGCATTTTCTGCTTCAATCATACAAAGCCCAGTTTTATTTTATAAAATTCCAGCATACACGGTACTTATTTGTAGGAGGAAACATGGGTCCTACATGAAGATTTCAGTGTCTAAATGTCATAACTGGATATGCTTTGCTGTGTATAGAGAGATGGCAGTCGCTATTTAAAATGTTTATTCGGAGGAATCTTTCAAAATAAGGACCATAAGCATTTAAGAAGCTGCTGCTCTGTACTACAGAATTTGCTATACGGAGGAAAATATTTATGCCTACATTAATTTTTATTTTAAATTTAGTTTGGGGAAAAAACATCTAGAATTGGTTGTCATGGTGCTGCCTAAATAAAGATGTGAAATTATCCTTTTAAAAGTTCTAATCACATTTCTTTAAAAAATGCTTTAGATGTTGTCTATGAGTTGGTCACAAGTCTGAACACATCTATTAGAAAAGGAATGCACCCCACAAAGTGTGATGTGAGTCAGCCCTGGTTTGTATTGTTATCTATGCCTTTTCTGTGTTAAATAGTTATTTTGTTCAACTGTAGTACTGGCTTTTCCTAAAATTCTTCATTTGGCTTATATAGATTTCTATTCCATATTTTAGGAGCAGAGGGATCCTGCACTCATTTTCTGGGACTGAGACCAACAAAATCTGGCCGTATGTGTACACACTGGTGGCCAGCAAGATTCGTCCAATCCAAGCAGAAGAAGCAAACTAAGCATCTCCAGAACAAGGATGAAAATTGATACTGTACATTTTTGTTTTGTTTATGGTGTGCTGTATCTGTGCTCTGCCCCTTTAAAAAAAGAGCTGTTGTTCCTGGTTTCTCCTGGAGAATAACTGTGGAAACCCATCCTGGTTGAAAGATTGCAGTGTAGAGAATCCTGGCTCTAAGTAGATAAAGCATTTGTGCATGGAGTTCAAGTAGTTCTAACTGGTTATGCAGAAACAGATGTACCTGAGCAGGAATACAGAACTGGGCCTTCTACATACCGTGAATGTTTTATGAATGTTTTGAAAGGATTTATTTAACATTCCACAGTAGTTTAAAAAAAGAGTTCGCTAGATGTATCTTCCGTGCAACAAGTGCTTGGAAACTATATTGCATTGCATAGGTTAAACAATAAATGTGTTTTTGAGTGTTTAGTATATGGTGAATGAAAATCATAGTTGTTTAACATGTTGGCTTTTAGAGAACACCAATAACGGAAAGTATCTTACAAAATGCTGCTGTGTAATGATGAAACCTTCCCCCCTCCAAACTTGGTGGTGTGGTTTTAGTCCATCCTGTAGATTTTGTGGAAGTGGCCTGCTCTGGATCCAAGAACAGTTGCACTACTTAGTTAGTAAATGTAATAATTTAATAATACACCGTGCTACAACCAGTCAATAAAAGCCAGTGCAGTCTCTGATAACTTTTGCATATTCTACCTATGCAAAAAATATCTCCAGGAAAGTGGTTATGTAGTGAAGGATAATGTCAGGTCCAGATGAATGTTGGTACAGTATGCAACACATTCTAATGACTAGAGATGGAGGTATTCAAATACGAATATCCCCGCACATGTGGAAATAATGATTTCACCACTGCCGCCGGCTCCGCAGAGCCTTCCTGTTGTGCCATTCTCTGCAATGAATTAGCCACTCTGTGACCTAGCAGAGAGGCTTGTCATCCCGCCTGCTGCCAGGAGCAGGTAATTGATTGAGGACAACAGCGCGATAGGAAGGCTCTGTGGAGCCAGCGGCAGCACCAAAACCCCTCATTGTTTCCACCTGTGGGAGGATATTGGTATTCGTATGCAAATACCCCCATCTCTACTCATGACTAAAGAGGCTAATAAACCGTTAGCCACAGCTTTGGGAACTGCTGCTGATTTACGTCCTTAACTGTTTGACCTGCATACCAGGTTTGTCCGTGTAAGTCATATCAGGATTGCTGACAGGTGCAAAACATATAGATGTAGTATGTGCTGAGCCAAATAAGGTCCTGGTCACACCAGGGAAATGTTCTCTAGTTTCCCCTCAGTTAGTTTGCTGTTTTTCTGATCACATAACTCACAGTCAAGACAGAAACATTTTCCTGGCCAGCGGTATAAGTGAGGAAATATTTCCCCTTGGTTGGGAGGGTTGTGTTATTTTGTACCTCTGTTGTACCAGTGCATTCCTTACTGGGATTGCCTGTGTGCATGACCTGCCTTGCTTTTTTCAGAATTAAAGCCAGTAAAGTGGCCACCAGTTCTGCAATGCATTTACCAATTTAAAAAAAAATCACGGCCAGTATGTTGGCAAAAGTATGTCACGGGGGGGGGGATCACCAGTATTGCTGCATGGACTCCCCCCCCCCAGCCTGTGTATTGATAGGCAGTGGTTGCCACCCTTATTGCTAAGCGTGTGCCATAAACAGCGGTACAGTGTTCATTCTGTGCAATTTGATTCTGCAGGAGTCGCCAGTGGAACAGAAGACCCATTCCCAAACAGAACCCCCTTCCTAATATATCGATGTATTGATCGCTAAATTGCCCCTTGAAGCAAGAGAAAAAATAAACTGTTACCATGATATAGCTGGCCATAATGATTCAAATAGGTGGAAATATATTGGTACCACTGGAAGTTGCTGGTGTATATACCACATGACTGTAAATCAACACAACAGAGATATGGAAAGTATCAGAAGAAACAGAGAACATTTCCCTCATTTGACCAGGGCATAAGTTCATAAAGAGGGACATGGTGGCACTGCGGGTTAAACCGCAGAAGCCTCTGTGCTGCAAGGTCAGAAGACCCGCAGTCGTAAGATCGAATCCACGTGACAGAGTGAGCTCTCATCACTTGTCCCAGCTCCTGCTAACCTAGCAGTTCGAAAGCATGTAAAAATGCGAGTAGATAAATAGGTACCACCTTGGTGGGAAGGTAACGGCGTTCTGTGTCTAGTCGCGCTGGCCACGTGACCATGGAAACTGTCTTCGGACAAACGCTGGCTCTACGGCTTGGAAACGGGGATGAGCACTGTCCCCTAGAGTCGGACACGACTGGACTAAATGTCAAGGGGAACCTTTACCTAAGTTCATAAGTTGATCTGGTTTTCTTGTGCTTCCTTTTCCTGCTGCTCTAGAAGGTGGCTTGTATTGACTTCATAGCTAGGGTCTTTTCTGTGTGAGTAGGGACTATTCTCTTGCAGAGTTCCCCCTTTGATCAGTGACATCTATGGCTCTGTACTGCTGTTTCAATATATTCCCCCTTTCCTTGCACATTGCCTTGTGTCATATACTAGAAACAGATTGAAATACAGGGTAAGAATGAAATCTCTGGATAAAAAAAATCTATGCATACATTCTTTGACAGCTGCTCAATTATCTGTATCTGTTCATAGTTATTGCAGTTTTGTTCTTGATTTTATGTACTGTTACATGTCTCACTAACTGCAGTATCAACCAGATATTTTTAGATCAAAAGTTGGATGTAAACATTCAGTTTCTTTTTAGAGTAGTTTGGAATTTCTTTCCCCAAGGAATGAGTTTGTATTTTGAATTGACCAAGGGGGCTGCTGTGTCTTTGGTGCAAGAAGGCCTGCACTTTACATAGGATTTCAGGTTATATTTGTGTGACACCAGCAGGACCTGTTGGTTCTAGCTAGGCTTCACGGTGAGATGAAGATTGTGTCCAAGAATATGTGCTTCTTTTTGTATCTTGCTACTTGCTTGCATTGGATGGGGAGATAAGTAGTGATCAGCAAGCTCGTCTCCTGTTGACGATCTCTCCCTGAGACTTCTAGTAACCTTCCAAGGAACTCTAAGGTTTCCTAGAGCAGCGATTCTCAATCTTGGGTCCCCAGATTTTCTTGGACTGCAAATTCCATAAACCTTCATCATTTGCTGTGCTGGCCAGGATTTCTGGGAGTTGCAGTCCAAGAACAAGTTTGAGAACCATTGCCCTAGAGCAGTGGTCCCCAACCTTGGGTCTCCAGATGTTCTTGGACTACAACTCCCAGAAGTCTTCACCACCACCTCTGCTGGCCAGGATTTCTGGGAGTTGAAGTCCAAGAACATCTGGAGGCCCAAGGTTGGGGATCACTGCCCTAGAGCACAACTGTAAAAGCACTGGTTATTTTTATTGCTACAGGTGAGCATTTGGGCAGCTGGCAGGTCCAGGAATAAATTATCTGTCCTGGGATTTTCCAGGGTCCACATGGACCACCATCAATGCCCAATGTCCCAAAAGGACTTCATTTCATATATTTTGTTATCATTTCCTTAGTCACATTGTTTGATCAACAGAAGAGCAGGTACAGTAACTTGCACACATTCAGAAATTAAAAACTACTTTCCTTTTATATGTATGAATCAAAAATTTGTGGGCATATCCAGATTTTCTTAAAGGTCTTGAAACTAGCTAAGTAAATAGTGCATTACAACAGCCTGAGCATCAGTGGCTTTCCAAAGTTTGGATGTAAATATTGTTAACTTTCAGAGCATTTCTAATCCGGGGCGGTGGGTTGGGAAAATGAAATAGTAGCTACTCCACCACTTCTGCAGCTCAGCTTCCTTCCACCAGCCAGAGGTAAAATGAGGGGCCTTTTCAGCCCTTCATATACAGTATCTTGTCTTCCTGGTTGTCTTATTCCCCTCTCCATTTTGAATTAAAGAGGAAGGGGAGGAATTGCCTATGCTGAATCCAGGCAGTCAGGGATAACAGCACAATCCCAGACTTGCTGGAGCAGGAAAGGGCTTTGGATCCTATGGATGCAGTGCTACTTCTGAAATGCCCCATTTTTGAGCCTGTAGCCAATGCCAAAACCATCAGCACCAAATCTGTGCCCACTTTCTGTGCATATATCAAGGTGGAGGCACTAGATGGCCATCTAGGGAGGTTTAGCATTGTCCTGTTCAATTTGTCATGTTTGACAACACCCGCAGTTACTCTGCCTTGATCCTAATTTCCTCAAGTTGCCTTATTCTTATTCCCTATTTGAGGGGAAAGGAGAATGTATCTTACATAAATTAATCTGATTTAATACTTAATACACTTTTTCTTTTTATCATTCTCGTTTGATAACAATTATATAGCTTAAGCTTCCTGACTCCAAAAAGTGAGATGAGCTATTGGAAATAGGCTTTCACATACACAATAAAATGGACTAAACACCTTTTAACTTCTGTGGCCATTTTCTGTATGGATGTGTACACACACATATCAGGTGGTTCTTCACAGGAACAACTGATGATAGAATTGTTGCTGGCACAGTATAATTAACTAAGCCCCAATGTAGACATGGCATTTTCTATTGTTTTAAACATTTATCTATTATGATTTTTTAAAAAAACCATCAGAATACAATAAAGATCAAATTTAACAAATTTCAACTAAAATAAGTTTCCCTACTGCCACTGTAGATCATATTTCTCATGTTGTCCATTACAAACACCATCTGGTGCCAGTGGCTTTTAATGTTGAGCTATTTAATGCAATACCCATATGTATTTTATTGCCACAATAGGTCATTCAGTAAGCATTTTCCCCAGAACCACCAATACACAAGCGTTTGAAATAAATCACAATTTTTGTTGAAGAAAGAAATACTGCTTGGGTTCAGTGCTTTTCAGAGTTTTATACTGTAGCAGGAATGGGCAAGTAGTGGACTGGAGCCAAGATAATAGTATTTGTGGGTATGATCTTCCACCGAAGCCAAGAAAAGCAACATTCCGTGTGGAAACATGCAACCCAAATACTGGACTCTAGCACAACTACTTTTCACATTTTTAATGAAAGGAATTGTTTTATGTCTATGCAATACAGTGATGGCCCAGGCTCGTGAAACTCTGTTGTCAGCCTTTTGAAGGTGTTGTGACATGTGCAGTGGGGATCTTCCATATAAGGCTGACACAACGATCAATGTTTTCAGCTTAATCCGATTACCTTTCACTATGGCTGCTTCTGGATGAGGTGGTTACCTCCGTGACCATCGGGAATGTCACAAAGGCATTCAGGTGGTCACCCTTGCTCGTAATATCGAAAGCTTTAAAAACTGTGGTACGTGCAGCAGATACAAAACAAAAAAGGAAGTCATTTTCTATGCACTATATAGAAAAGGCTGAGTGTTAAATGTGCTGTATATATAACAAAGAATCAGACATAAATGACACAGATTTTTT